CTTAGCGAGCTTTCACATAAGGCGTCCATTTCTGGTGTATTCTGCGACAACTTCCAAGTCGGGGTTTGACAAACGCGTCTCGAAACTTTGAGGCTCATGGCTGATACATTGCGTTGTGAACTTCTTGATTGGATGCAATACGCCGACATTGGTAAGCAAGGCGAGCAGCGTGATTTCGCAACACATACCACCGGCTACACAAGGATATCCTCGAACGCGAGAAAATGCAATTATCAGAAGTTTGGTAAGCAAGGCAAGAAGCTGCATCAATCAGTGTTTATGGCACGCAATCGTCATTCCAAAACTTCTCTTCCTTCCACCTACGCACCATCCTTCTTCCTCTGCCCGACGAAAAAGCCCAATCCAAAATCATCCGTCTTGAACGTAATCTTGCTCCCCTTGGGAAAGAAAAACACATCCCCCTTCTCGGCCTTCACTTCCTTGCCCGTCTCATCGCTGATGTAGAAGTGGCCGTCTACTATGATCTTGATCTCGTCGTACGTGTACGTGTACCCGAGCGGTGTTCCCTTTTCCAGGCGGTAGAAACCGCCACTGATGGGCTTATCTGGGTCTGTAGACTCACTGGTGAGGAAGGGAGGGTTAGTTTGGGTAGTGGGTTGCTGGGATTTGTGGAGGCTAGACGTACGACGATACGACGTCACCGAGGTAGGCATTCTCGTTGGCGATTAGAGGAGGTTTGAAGGTTGTTTGCGCTTTTTCGAAGTATTGCATTGCTGGCATGGTGTCGGTGGTTGGTATGATGTGGATTGTTCGGGTTGTCTAGGGGTGTTATAGAGGCAGATGGGGGTGGAAGGCACAAGAGCACGACCGGCCTTATGTACTACAACCTTATCTACCATCGCCCAATCTTCAGCACTTACGGCATCGGCATCATCAGCTTCTCAAGATACACTGTTGACGGGACTTCCCCTGCTTCCGTCATCCAGTCAGCCGCCATATAGGCGTAGAGCAACGCATTATCTGGGACTTTGATACTGCATATGGCGCTTGGCGTGCGTCAAATACACGGCCAATTTGGCGAGTGTTCTGCTAAGCTTTCCGATCTTATCCACTGCCATCTATTAGTGTGCGCTGCAGGTGTTGAGCGAGACGGCCCCGAAACGTTGGAGGTAGATGTGGATAGTGGGGTGGCATAAGGTGGGGCAATGAGGTGTAATCTGCGATTGGCTATGAGCTTATCGTCAGGAAAGGATTACTCCATCTGGATGTCGTGCATATGTGGGTTAGTGTAGTAACGTGGGCTCCGACTATGACTCGAGGAGACTTTCGCAAGTCGGAAATGCTGACATAGACGGTCGCGCGGCGTAGTAATCCTTGGAACTGCGTCTTGAATTCTGATAATACATTCTGGGTATATTCAAATTAATGGATGCGGTAGTGATATCATGCAGGTCGTTCTTCTTCATGGTCTTCGTCCTCTTTCCACTTCTTGCGCCACCACTTCATCTTGAACCAGTCGCCCAAGTTATCTTGGCTTTTGCTCCCTTGGCCGTACCCCCAGGTCTGTCGTCTCCGAGACGTTTCGTCCATGTCTGTATCAGAGATATCGCCATCTTCTGGATCAGGATGATCAAGAAGTGATGTAGAGCTGTCCACGGGCTTCATTCCTTGCGACACGCTCCTGCCTCGGCTACCGAATCCTTCGAACCAGGACCGTCGACGCATCTGATTGAGCCACGCCGACTGCGCAGCATTCCTTCGTGGAGGCAAAGTCCCAGATCGCGGTCGTCGTTCTAGATCCACGGATCGCCGAGCAGGAGAAGGCAGAGTCTCTCGGTCGTTGAGCTCATCCCATATCTCATTTGTCTCCTCCGAGATAGTCATCCGCCGTCTCCTCGGCAATCTACGGGATTGTATGGGACTTTTCAAGTCACCGGCGTCTACCGATGCTCGCTTCTTCGGATTGGCGAGTGTCGCCGCGGGACCTGTGGGAGCGCGGGCCAGCAGGGGTGTCCTTTCGTCGACCGCTTTCCGCTTGGCTTGCTCCGAGGCATAGCCGTGAAAGCCTGGGGCTTCTTCGTCAATGTCCAGAGGTGAGTCGGATTCGTCGTGGCTATGGCCATGCGCAAGGCCGATACCGGGTTCCAGCACATTGTGAGGCATCGGAACCCTGCCTGTGTGCTTGCTTGCTACTGGTGACATGGGCTCTTCCTCGTTGTCTTCAAGTCGCCAGCTCAAGCAGACAACTCCCGCAAGCAGTATGACAGTTCCAAGTGCGATCAACCCAGCGTGCAGACTCGACAGGCGATCGTTTTGGTCGAAGTAGATGAGGCCGTCTATAATCGCGATGATGTTGTACACGCAGAACACTAAGGGGTAAAGGACGCTTGTGCTAACCAATTTCAGTCCGCGATGCATGTAGTAGAGTTGGGTCAGGGCGAAGACGACCAGTCCGACTAGGATCATCCACGACTGCCAGCGGTCAAACTGATTATGACGGTCGATGAGAGTCCGGACGAGGAGTTCGACGGCGCTCTTTGCGATCAAGAGTGAATGCGCGGAGAGGATGCCACTGACGCAACCGAAGAGGATACCGCGTACGAGGCGTTGTCGAGGAGTGGTCCGCGGATGCATGCGGTGCAGTAACCAAGTGGCAATAACCAGCATGACAACCACTATGCCCGTCATGACCATCCATACAATGAAGGTGTTCCGTCCCAATAGCGCCAACAGCTGATCCAGGTTATGCGACGGTTCGGCAATGGCACCGAACAAGGCGATCAGCAATGCGCCTATCGCAACGAGCATTGTGCCGACGAAGGAGTATCGCGTAAAGGGTTCGCTGAGGATGATGGAGGCGCATATCGAGTTGAAGACGAGGCCGGATGCCTGGAGAGTGGAGAGGACGGGAAGGGGGAGGGTGGTGATCTGAATGGTACTGCCGACGATGTTTGCCACGACGAACATGAGCATGCCCAGCTGTATGTGTGTTAGTGAATCGTCTCCGAATGCGCGAGGGGTGTTCGTGCCTGCCATCTCCGCCGCTTGTATGGGGGTCGCCTCTCATCGTCGTCATCCTTCTCTTCCTCCAAGAGATGGGACTTCCGCTGCAGCGTCAGGCCAACGCTCTGTATGCTGGTAGAGGCAAGGCCGACCATTACTCCAAGCTGCATGTCCTTCCGTTAGCGGTCTATTCCCGCGTTGGTATGGCGGCCTGGGTACTCACAGCAACGCTCGCGCCCGGCGAGAGTTCCACCATGGTTCGTGTCGGCTGTCGTCGCTGCACTGCGCGTGTCGCTACCTAGTCGTCGGGCGCATGCTGTGCGTATGGGGTATGAAGGGCGGGGATGTGTGGTCTTGGTAGTAGACAGCGCAGACGTGGGAGTCGCGAAACGTCACGCTGAGTCGGTGAAGTGCACGAGACGGTTGGGGAAGACTAGCCGACGCCGTGCAGGTTGCAGGGATCAGCCGACTGATGATGTAGTTGGATTCAGGAGGAGAGCCCTGGAGAGCTCGGGAGCAGCAACGAGGCGACGCGACGAGGTTGAACACGAGATATATCCATTATGTTCATAGTGTGACACGTTTAATATTACCATCGCGTACCTGCGACGTCGTGCCATGGATCCTCTGCAGACGTACCTGGGTAACCGCGGCGGGCAGCGTCTGGGTGTCTGGGGGCCCAAGCTTGAACTTCAACCTCCAAGCTCCGTCACTGCTATACCTCGACGCCAGCACCCATAACCCTCCCCCGTAGCCTAGACGACCCCCCACAATACCGCCATCATGTCGCAAGTCCACGCCCTCTCCGACGACCAGGTACAACTCCCCACCCGCTCCAGCCCGCGGCAAGCTCCCCGCCCGCTACGTCAACACGATAGCTAACATGCACCACCATGGCAGGTCGCCGGCGAGCTCAAGAAGATGACGGCCTTTATCCGCCAGGAAGCCATGGAGAAGGCCAACGAAATCCGCCTCAAGGCCGACGAGGAGTTTGCCATCGAGAAGTCCAAGCTCGTGCGCCAGGAACAGGCCTCGATCGACTCGTCGTACGAGAAGAAGTTCAAGCAGGCCAGCATGTCGCAGCAAATCACCCGCTCCACCGTCTCCAACAAGAGCCGATTACGCATCCTCTCCGCCCGCCAGGAGCTGCTCAACCGCCTGTTTGAGAACGCCGAGAAGAAGCTGGGCGATGTTTCAAAGGACAAGAAGAAGTACCAGAGCGTCATGAAGGACCTGATCGTCGAGGGCGCCTATGCGCTCAACGAGGATAAGTTGCAGGTCAAGGTCCGGAAGGCGGACTACGACCTTACCAAGAAGGCTATCGAGGAGGCGCAGACCGAGTACAAGAAGAACATTGGCAAGGACGTCTCCATCACCATTGATGAGAGCGACCCGCTGCCAGAGGGATCGTAGGTCTTTCTACTGCTATCCGATAGGGCAAGACTAACTCCAGACAGTGCTGGTGGTGCCATGATCGTTGGTACAAACGGCCGAATCGACATCAACAACACCTTCCAAGAACGATTGAAGCTACTCGAGTCCCAGGCCCTGCCATCTATCAGGGTCACGCTCTTCGGTGAGAACGAGAACAGGAAGTTCCACGACTAAGAGGTTAGTCTGGACGTGGAGTACGAGAGTTGGCTGGTGTGCCTGACCGCAGTCACGGGTCAGCACAGACGAAGGTCCGCGTCAGCAGTGTCGGACCGAGCCTCGATGAGTAGACTGTACATGCACGAGATCTTGTAGACCTCTCGGAACATTTAGCGAGTTTTATTCCATGCACATTATCGGAAGTAATGTTTGACTGTGATATCATTGAGCAACTGTTCTCGACCGCTAACTACAGAACCTCGTATGTACTGCGAAGGAGGGTATAAATAACAAAACATGCGTACAGAGACGCTGTGTATCTTCGCATCAAGGAGTGGATATCATCAACACTCGAAACTCCCATAAATCAAACGCCAGTGCTAAGTCATAGCATGCAAATGCTCGTATATACAACAAAGGAAATCGTTACTGTGCATCGAATGCACTCATACGCGTTCGTAAACGCGATCCCACATGGGACTTCTCGTCCTCTTTTGCCCACCACCCATGACGTTTCTCAACGGCCACTCAGTCTTGCTGCTCTTCTTGAGAGACGAACTGGGATCTGGGTACCGATCGAAGCTTCTATGTCCACCATAAAGCTCATCGTCCTGGTCGGTATACCCGTTGTTTGAGTACTCAGGGCCGTAGTCTTCAAGGTATGCATATCCGCCTGCAAAAGGATTCGACGAGGGCTGCTGGTGGGTGATGGGAGAGATGGGTCCGGAATCGTCGGATTGGTATCCATGGCCGGAGTTACTGGATAAGCTGGAGACGGCAAGGCCAGAGGAACTGCTTCCGCTGTGGTCGGCGCTGTTGTAGGCGAGAGAAGGGCGGAGGAGACCTCGCGACGCTTCGGCTGCTAGGCTGCTGATGGGACTGGTGGGGACAGGTTTGCGTTTTATGCTCGCCACGGCGGGGACAGGAAGCGTGTCTAGAGCGGACATACTGGGTCTCCGCGGGCCTGTCTTTGGTGGTGAGTTGTTGCGACCTAGCACCGGAGAGTCTCCGTTCAATTCTTCGTCGGGCTCGGTCACTTCGGCCACTGAATGCAGGCTCTTATAGCTTGTTCGTCGGCCGCGCGCACGATTCGACGAGTGGCTGTGGTAGAGTGCGGGCGCCAGGATAGGTGTGTGATTATCTTGCATCGCCATTGGTGTTGACTCTGACGGCATTGAATTACCATCATTAGGGTGGGGAATGCCTGCAGTCGCAATGTTGTTTGCCTGAGACGGTGTAGGTGCTGCAGCTGGTGGGATCTGATGGCCATGGTAGGCTGTAGACATGGGAGCCGGATCATAGCCATCATCCTCCCAGTTCATGTCCTCAACGAAACGGCTCGTCTGGTGTGATGCGGGATTCAAAGGCCGCCTGTGTTCGAAATTCTCACCGCCCAATCCTCGGTCCTGAAACGAGAAACGGGGAATGAAGCCCGGGGATGACGGAGGTTGGCTGCCTTCAATGGACCTCCTTCTCTTTCGGCGCAGAATCAGGCAGCATGCAAGCAATAATGCAGCGATAGCAAGTACTGCTAATGGTACACCCACACCAAGTCCGATTTTTTCACGTCTTGTCAGGCCAGCATCGCTGGAAGCGGGTGCAACAGGATCTGTGGTTGGGTTTAAAGTTGCAGATGAACTTGCGGAGGAAGATGCGGATGTTGAGACGGTAGTTTCCGAAGATGACGATTGCGATGACGATGACGATGATGATGAGGTCGCTAGTGTGGTCGAAGATTCGGAAGAAGATCCAGAGGAAGATACCACGCTGGTAGTTTCGCTTGAAGAACTGCTCGAAGATGCCGTAGGCGTAGAAGTCGTGCTCAAACTTTCGGATCCTGATATCGCAGAGGATGGCACTGCGCTAGTCGATAATGACTCAAATATCGATGAGTCCACATTTGAAGCAGTCTCTGAGGGTAATGCCGTTGGTGATACGGTGACGTCGGTTGGCAGTGCTTCGCTTGCAGGTGGTGCTGCCGTCGCTGGTCCGAACTCTTGTATGAAGTAGGATTGTATGTCGTATGGCAGCTCTTCGAACCATTGCGGTCGGTTGTCGTCTAGGAATTCCTCCCATAGTATGCTCGATACGGCGGGTATGTTTGTTGCAGCCATCTGTCTTAGCGAAAGTGGTAGTGCAGTAATGAGCACTTGCAAGATCTCGATACTATTGTCAATGTCAGCGCAGTCAGAATTGATGTAAATCAAGGAAGCTTACGCATCAGGATCTTGTCTATGTTGTAGCGATCGAACATCTGGTCTTGGTGCAGGTGTGATGACAGGCACCGCAGCGCCGTGTACCAAACCCACCACATTCCCCAAGACCAGCCAATTCCATCCTCTTAGCGAATGCATGTATGCGTGAACGAGCGAGTGTGGTAAAGAAAGCAGTAATAATAAATCGCAAGTAGCTGAGAGTCAATGTTCGCAAAGATGCGTCAGCGCTTCATGTCTGGCAACAATAGTACGAACAGTCAGGAAGCCAGTGCCCAGCGGCAGCGGTGGCCATACTTTTTGACTGTTCACACCCATGTACATTGTCGCATGCCGTCGACGTCCATAATTCGTTGGAGCAAGCAAAGTCGTCGCAGTGTGGCGATTGATCAAGAGATCGTCCACACAGCCCACCGGTCTCGTTACTGCACTTGGTAGGATCTCATGCAGATCAGGGTCCTGACAGCCGGTTATGAGGTCGCGCACCCGCAGATTCGCCCCTCACTAGCCACACTTCGGATGACACTTCTGATCGAATCGCATGTCGAGCTGCCGTTTATCCTGGCACGGATGTTTTTGGTGGAGCGATCCGAGTGGGTCAACGGCTGCGTGTGGCTGGTGTGATGCTGGGGGGTTCGCTTCGCTGCCGAACTGGAGAACGCTGTGCCGGCGAACCGATGCCGCGTATACGTTTGATGCGGTCTTTGCAGGAAAAGATTTGCATACAGAGACAACGTGACGTTCGATAGACATTCTTTTTATTTTTGGATCAGTTGGCGGAGGACGAGTGCTGACCAATGACTGTGAGGTGCGCGTGTTGTTTGGGTGACTCTTTCCATCTCGCGTCGGCTGCGCGCAAACGCTCAATGAGGAAATCACCGTTCACCGTCACCATAGTCGCGTCTGCTGTCTACGTCTACTGAAAAGTCTTAACGCAACCTCACACCCACTACACCATGACCAGCTTTGTATATACCACCATCACTATTTACACGTTTGCGCAACGCGACTCGATCATGGCATGGACTCATGTCTGATTACCTGCGCTATACCACTAACGAATGCGGCATGCGCGTTCCTGCGCGAGTACCTCGAGAGCATACGCGTAGAATTCGCACTCAACCACAAGCAATCGCCTGGACAAGGCATACAACTGCTGAGCCCCTTGCTCATTCAAGATGGTAGTTAGAGCAGTCATGTTCAGTTGCGGCCATAGTCTTCAATCCTGTTTTGTTCCTACCTTCAACTGACTCAGATACTTCAGGGCCTCGCCGCTAAGCACCATGCAAATCCATGGCGATACTTATCGCAACGCGACTTGTAACCCAGACCTATCAACGTACACACATCGCGGTAGACGCTATTATCTCGTCCAGTACCAATAAACGCATTTGTCATTGTTTAGGCATACTGCCTACACCTACGCTCAAGTGAAGAACGCACTTGCATCTCAGGAGCATAACGACATACGACCTGCACGTTTAGGATACTTCAAAGCTAGAATCAGTCACTACGAAGACAACGCGGACGGTTGCTGAACGAGAGATCAAGGCTGTTACGCTAGCAGCCGAAAGCCTTGTGTGATGGGTGGATTGGCTACCAAAACGAGTTGGCGCCCAACATTTTCTTTACCCTCGAACCCCACTTGCAGCCGTCTTTCGAGCCACGCAACAGCTGCGACGACGCGGTTTTCAAGTTATATTACGCACTTTTTGAACTCATTTCATCAAGCAAGGCTCGTTGGTGTAGTTGGTTATCACGTCAGTCTAACAACGGCCGTCAAACGCCAGTTAGGACACTGAAGGTCCGGAGTTCAAACCTCCGATGAGTCATCATCGGCGTTCGCAAGAGCGCACCGAACTTTTTGCCATTTCCACAGGCTGTTGGGGTATCTTTTTGCTTGGACAGCCCCCACATCACCATTTTGAGCCGGTTGAGCCTATAAATTGAGGAAGATGACGATGCCGATTTTTCTAGGCCCCCTTATCTCCTCTAGCCGACGGCCTTACACTCTGAGGTACCCTCGCTGGATTGTGGGCGCTCGTTGGCCCGTCTACCTCGGTATCGCATCGGAGGCGAGCCTGTAGCTTGTATGGAACATTTAGATGCGAGTGCGCCTTTGACTTAGACGCGGTCTGGTCATTGAGATTATCCTTTGGTATACGAGTATTCAGATTCTAGTTAGGCAACGCTACTTTGCAAGAACTGCATACGATTACGCATTTGCTGGCTACAAAATTGTGGAGGTTCGACGCCGCGGCGCTGTTCTGTTGGGTTCGAAATCTTAGGCTAACTCGCACAGCAAGCTCTACTTGGTCTATGAGGTCAGGTCGGGATGTTGACGATAGTTAAACATTCTATCTATATTAGACTACCTTCGCAGTATCTGTGCAACAGCTACATGCAGTCTATTCACATGGTCCTCTCCACCTGACTTGCTTCTCCAGGCCACGATACCATCTGGTCTTACTAGAACGGCTCCATTACCTCCTACCTCTGAAAGCTGATCCCATTTCCCATCAACATCTTTCAATTCCCTACCATCGATACCAACAACGTGGATTAGCTCGTCTCTAACAGGGTTCCAGGTAGTAGGGTCGGCCGTAAAGAGAACGAAACGGTCCAAGCACAAAAGATCGAGGGACGAAACGACATCATCTCCCTTCCTCAGCCACATGTGGGGAAAGTGATGCCCAGGAATGGTCGAAGGGTGGTACTCGGTGACCTTTAGCTTCCCAGTCTCGTCCACCTGGCCACCGTGAAAATTATCCCGCCCCTCATTGTCGATATCAGCGGTTGGATAGAACCAGCCTATTTCTGCCCCTGGGGCTTTGAACTCTGTATCGAGGGTCTCTTGCGCTCTCTGTACATCCGCATGCACTTGAGCATAGCCTGGGTGGCTTTTGTCAAGCAGAACTTGAATGGCTCTCTTGTTCTCTTCGGCTGAAGAGTCTTTGCTAATACCCAATGCCTTGTCCATGATCAAACTGTGACTCCGCATATTAACCAGGCTCGATTGCGCTACTCTTTCTCCAATCGGGCGGCGTTCTTCATCGTATGTGTCCAGAAAGTCGCCATTCCCAAGTTTGCCCTGGAGCATCAAAGCTAGCTTCCAAACCAAGTTGTTAGCATCTTGAATACCCGTGTTAAGTCCGAGAGCACCCCATGGCGGGAGGCGATGCGCCGCATCACCAACAAGGAAAGTGCGGCCGCTTTTACTGCGATACTGCTCAGCTGATATGGCGTTGACAGACCAGTGGCTCAAACTCATGACTTCAACTTCCAAGTCTGGAATGTTGATGCTCTTCTTTAATCGACTCATCATTGCGTCGTTGTCGAATCGCACAGGATCGTCTGGGAGGATGCCACAGGCAAAAATCCACTCTTCAGTGTCGGGGTTGTTGGGGTATGGGCCAAGGTGGTACATATAGCCAGTTCCAATACTTCCGCCCATCTCCGGATTGATGAACCAAGTTATGAACGCTTCTGGTTCGGGATGTTTGAGGGATATTGGTGCTCGAATGTGTGCAGTCACCATGTCGACTATGTTCTTCTCCCCATGCAGTTCAATACCAAGTTTGTTTGTTACCATACGCCCGCCATCAGCTGCAATGACATACGAAGCTCGTATAGTCTCGCTAGGTCTAGACTTGTCACGGAACTCGATCCGTAACTCCACGTAGTCCTCCTTCTCCACGATGTCGGTAACTTCGGCACCATACTGCACACCGCTCGGATTCAACTGCTTGGCCTTTCGTGAAAGAATGGGCTCGAGCCGTATTTGTGGCAACGTGAGATAGCGACTAGGACTTGCTGTCTTATATTCGTCGGCGTATCTCCCACCACCCCATGCGTCGCGCGAGACTATCTTGGTACCAGTCGGTCCAAGAGAAGTGTACCACGCGGTCTTGGAACATGTGTTCGGAGGTGCTGCATTGGCGATAACCTCCTGCTCCACTCCCATCTGTCGGAATATCTCGCCGGTTCGTTGGTTTAGGCCGCATGCCTTCGGGTGGATCGAAGTGCTAAGGTGACGCTCGAAAAGCACGTGTGGAATGTTGCGAAGGGATAACAAGATTGATGAGGAAAGGCCCACAGGGCCTCCCCCTATGATGGCAACTGGATACTGCTGAGGATCTGCCATTTAGTACTCGTAAGATTGATGAACAACATCGAACGCTGGAACACATGAACTTTACAGCGAGTATCCCCGCTGTCTGACGTTTCAGCTCCACATTCCCCTCCCGAGGTCTTTACCCTTCCAGGGTTGTTACCAACTTTACTAACTTGACGTGGTAAGAATGTGGTATCCCACACTACCTACGTCAATCTCGCTTCAATATGGAACGTCAAAACGGCGGTCTTCCAGGCTTCGCGCTCGAGCTTCGAGTCTTGTCGCGACGGACTTTAGGTGTGTGAATGTGTACATGGTGGGTCGGTAAGTGGATAACGGCAATTTCAAGACGGCGGTCGGTTACGACGAGCGCCGATTTTGTCCCACATTCCGCCTGCTACTTTGCCCGCTCTAATCACTCATCCATCACACGTGTGTCAAAAGGATTAATGTCATATAAGAAGTATCTTTGATAAACGATTGGTTGAGGAAATCTATCCATCCTCTATGTCTCTTTGTTTGCCTAAAAAGCGGCAGAAATATGTACAAGGAACGTAAAGCTATACGATCTGAATGTTTGTTCAAATGTCTTCACAACGCTCAGAAGTTGCATTTCGCCAAAGCATGGCTTAGTATGAGCCGTAAGAGCCGGTGCTCATAGCACTGTTTGCATCGACGGTAACAGTGACTGTCTGCTTGACCGTCTCGGTGACGATAGGTGCGCTGGCGCAGGTAGTAGCATCTGCAACCTCAGATGGCACCATGGGGGTAGGCTGTGGGGCGTTGTAACCGCCAGTCGCTGTGTTGATTTGCTTATCTGGAAGCACAGCGCTGTATGCTGAGTACGAGCTCAGGGGGAGAGCAGTAGCGGCAGAAGAGGCGTTGGGTACGGCCGCAGAGTAGGCAGCAGAAGATGCAGCGGCGTATCCGGAAGAGATGGCAGCAACGCCAGTGGGGGTCATGATAGCGGAGTAAGCGGTGGTGCTATTACCAGCAGGGACAGCGGCAGCGGTGCAGCCTGCGCCAG